CCCGGCTCTGCCATCCTGTGTCCTGAGGGCCCTCCCGGCTCTGCCATTCTGTGTTTTGAGGGCCCTCCCGGCTCTGCTGTCCTGGGTTCTGAGGGCCCTCCCGGCTCTGCCGTCCTGTGTTCTCAGGGCCCTCCTATTTCTGACATCCTGTGTTCTAAGGGCTCTTTCAGTTCTGACATTTTGTGGTTTTTGTTTTTTACATTTAACCTAATTTTATTCATGCTTGCTTTGGAATGGGGATCATTCAGTAAAAACAAAATATGTCTTACCACATATACCTTTTAACCTACAATAGTGATGCACCTTAATTATGCCCATGTACACAAGTCTAACATTACAATTTTAAAAATAAATAAACACAAGTAAGACTTCTAGGAGCCTTTTATTATGAAGTCATTCCTAATTTTTTTTTGTAGATAGATCAAGCACCTCCAAATACATCAGATTGCTACACCCAGTGGGTGCTTTACATAAAATGAACTCTTAAGGACATTGAGCATAAGGCTTAGAAAAAGCCAACATAACATTCAAACAGGCGAGCAACAAACATAGGGCCAAGTGGAAAAACTTTATTTGCAAATAAATTTCAAAAGCTGTTAACTTTCTGTAATTAAATCCAGAAAATATACTGACTCGCTAAAATAAATAAAATGTGATGTCTTAACACTTCCCAGAATGCCCACCAGAACACTATGAACAGTGACTGACGCTGGTTAAGAAGTTAATATAATAACCCTGACTGATTAGATTGTGAAGCGCTATGGGAGCTACCATGGCCGCATACCTTGGTGGGTAACATGTATCATTTGGCCTTCATTTTCAGTTACTGCTCGTATCATGTGTTGTAAGACATGCGTACAGTATGAAAAGCTTAAATACTCAGGAATGAAAAATATTTTAGGAAAAAAATAGATTTTTCCCCAACAATTATGCACAGTCTCACTGTATAAATTTCAAGGCAAATTTTTTTTTTCATGTAAAACAGATAATGTTTTATCGAGAGAATGTTTTTAGTTGTCTTGGTGTATTTCTTTTGTCTCCCTGCATTGCATTATTTTGCTCTGTTCTTTAATTTCATGTGCAAATGACATGCCAGTTTCAAAGGAAAACTATTTTATGTATCAAAAGTAATTTGGGATTTTAAAAACCAAGAACTAAAAAAATCCAAATTAAAATGACACATCTGATTCGAGGAAAAATTGACATACTTAATAGAAAAGACTAAACACTTTTCATGAGAAAGAACTGTCTGCTGAGAGTTCAGTTGTGATGTTTCAGAATTCTGGTGTAGGTTTTATTGGGAATCTGGGGGGCAGATTCCTGGCAGAAGGCATCAATGTGGCCTGCATCGTTCAGCGGTGGCCCATGAAACTGGGTGGTGCCTATAGACTCAGGAACCCTCTTCCCTTTCGCTCTCCCCAAACTCACCTTCCTCTGCTGGCTCAGCGTCTAGCATTTCAGTCTCTTCCTTCCTACTAAAGAACATGTCCAAGGAACTGGTGTAAGTGTTTTCCTTCTCAGCGGGTTCATCCATGAGAAAGCTTTCGTCCCCACCACTTACAAGCCACAGTGCGAAGAAGATGGATGCAAAGATTCCAACCGAGCCAAATTTGCCTGCTTTTCCCGCCTTCTGGACTTTGATATCAAACTTTTCTCTTCCACCGGGGACTTTGAGTTATTCAAGTCATTTAATTTATCAATTAATTTATCAAGTCATTTTATCCATTTAATTGATTAATTTATCACGTCATTTAATTTATCAGTATCACCAGACTCCTTCAAAAAAGGAATCCAAGTCAGATCCTGGATTCTTCTCCCTTTTTCAGCCAATTGCTATGAGGCTTCCTCGGGGACTGTTTGCACTGAAACCAATGCTTTGCTTTGCTTTGCTTTGCTTTGCTTTGCTTTGCTTTGCTTTGCTTT